AGAAAAGCTGAGTAATCAAGGAGGAAAGATGTGGGTGCAGCAAGAATTTTTGCTCCTTGTCCTCACTACAGGGAAAAGAACTACTATGAAAACAGATGCTGGTTCAGGTCTAGCATATAATGCAGGTCTTGTAAATAATTTGGGCACATTGAAAGAGTGTGTAAGAACAAAGGGAATCAACAGAAACATCGAGCTCAAGCAGTGGAATGTTCCTAGCAATCCCAGTAGATAGAAGAGAGTACAGAGCAACTGTTTGTGGTCTCTGAATGCATGGTTGCAAGCAGCCCTAACGTGTGGTTGATTGACAATGGCTGCACCAAGCATATGACCCCAAATGCCAGCAATTTCGTGAACTTAGATGAGGGTTATCAATCCAAGGTGAAGGTGGGAAATGGTAAGCTGCTGGAGGTGAAAGGTAAAGGTGATAGTGCTATCCAAACCAAAACAGGTACTAAACTCATAGCTGATGTTTTGTTTGTACCTCAAATCAGTTTGAGTCTACTTAGTGTAGGACAAATGTTAGAGAAAAATTATTCTTTGCATTTCAATGACCTCACTTGTGTTATTTTAGAGAGTGATGGGACTGAATTGATGATTGTTAGGATGCAGGGAAAAAGCTTTCCTGTAAAATAGAGAAAACTTGCCTTTCAAAACCACTTAGCTAGGATAGATGATTCAGAGTTGTGGCATAGGAGATTTGGACACTTTCATTATCATGCCTTCCAGGAACTCAAACACAAGAATCTTGTCCATAACCTATCTGAAATTGACCAAGGTGAAGGATTGTACAAAACCTGTCAAATTGGCAAACTCAGCAAGCCTCCATTCTTTGCAAATAAAGCTTGGAGAGCAAATGAAAGGCTCCAGCTTATGCACACTAATGTGTGTAGTCCAATGCAGCAAACTTCTCTAAGTGGGAGTAGATATTTCATCATTTCCATAGATGATTTTTCTAGGATGACATGGGTGCATTTCTTGAACCGAAAGAGTGAGGTAGCTGCTGTATTTAAAAGTTTCAAGCTATTGGTTGAAAATAAAACAGGTTTGACACTAAAAACGTTGAGAAGTGATAATGGTGGAGAGTATACATCCAATGAGTTTGATGAAGCATGCAAAGGGGCTGGAATATGGCATCAGTTCAACAGTCGATACCCTCCACAACAAAATGGAGTGAGTGAGAGAAAGAATAGAACAGTGATGGAGATGGCTAGGTGCATGATGATTGAGAAAAATTTACCAAAAATTTTATGGGCAGAAGCTGTCAATATTGGGATCTATCTCCTAATCGGTTACCAACCAAAGCACTTGACAACAAGACTCCCTTTGAAGCTTGGTATGGTGTCAAGCCAAATATGGATCATTTGAAGGTATTTGGAAGTGTGTGCTATGTTTTTGTTCCAGCAAACAAAAGGACCAAATTGGATGACAAGGCTGAAGTAGGCATCATGATTGGATACAACAGCCAGTCTAAAGCCTACCAAATTTACAATCCAAGCACCAAAAGGATTGTGATCAGTAAGGATATCAAGGTTGATGAAGGAGCTACATGGAATTGGGAAAAAAGGCAAGTTGAGCAAAGGATTAGCAGCCAACATGACACAGATCCAGAAAATCAGAATGCAGAATTGAATCCCTAAGAAGTGGATGAAATTCTAGTCTGGGGCACCAGGTCTTTGCATGACATATATGAGAGGTGTAATGTGGCTCAATTGGAGCTAATAAGCTATGCTGAAGCTGCAAAATCTAAAGCCTGGAAGGCTGCAATGCAGGAGGAGATGAATGTGATTGAGAAAAATCAAACGTGGGAGCTGGTTGACAGGCCACTTGACAGGAAAGTAATACAAGTTAAATGGATATCTAAAAGGAAACTGAATCCTGATGGATTAGTGAACAAACTCAAGGCAAGGCTTGTTGTTAAAGGCTTTGCATAGCAATTTGGAATTGATTTTTCAGAAACCTTTGCACCTGTGGCAAGACATGACACCATTCGGCTTCTCATGGCAGTGGCAGCACAATTCAGTTGGAAAATCTTCCAACTTGATGTAAAGTCTGCATTCCTAGATGGATTGCTTGATGAGGAAATCTACATTGAGCAACCGGAGGGGTATGAAGTCAAGGGAAAGAAAGAGAAGATATATCTGCTCAAAAAGGCCTTGTATGGTCTCAAACAGGCCCCTAGAGCCTGGTATAGCAGAATTAATGACTATTTGTGTAAGTTAGGATATGTTAGAAGTCCAAATGAGCACACCCTTTATGTAAGGGAACAAAGTGGAGAAGTGATGATAGTCTCTCTTTATGTTGATGACCTCCTGGTGACTGGAAGCAAGCTTGATCAGTTGGAAGAGTTCAAAGAGCAATGGAGATGGAATTTGATATGACTGATTTGGGTGAAATGAGCTACTTTCTTGGCATAGAAATATACCAAAGCTTAAAAGGTATATTTGTGTGTCAAAAGAAGTATGTAAATGAAGTGCTAATGAAGTTCAATATGGACAATTGTAAATTAGTTGACATTCCACTGATTCCTAGCCAAAGGCTGAGCAAGGAAGATGGTGCCAAGAGGGTGGATGAAGGAGTCTATAGAAGCTCGATAGGATGCTTGCTATACTTGACAACAATCAGGCCTGATTTGATGTACACCACCAGCCTCCTGTCCAGATTCATGAGCAAGCCAAGTGAGATGCATTACAAGGCTGCAAATAGGGTGCTATGGTACAATAAGGGGGCTGAGTTAGGAATCTGGTTCAGAAGAGTTGAAAAATTCAGCCTAATTGGGTATTCAGACAGTGACTGGGCAAGCTCAGTTGATGACATGAGAAGCACTTCCGGATATGTTTTCTTTGTTAACCATGGTGCCTTCAGTTGGCTTTCTAAAAAACAAGACACAGTAGCTCAATCTACTGCTGATGCAGAATACATTTCTGCCGCAGCTGCTACAAACAAGGCAGTCTGGTTGAGAAAAGTTCTGGGAGATGTGAGGCTGAATCAAGATGAGTCTACCACCATTTATTGTGATAACATGTCAGCTGTTGCAATTGCTAAGAATCCTATTCTCCATGGTCGAACTAAACATATCAAAATTAAATACCATGTTGTGAGAGAGGCAGAGCAAAACATAGAAATCAGCTTGGTTCATTGCTTGGGAGAGAACCAAGTTGCTGATATCATGACCAAGGGATTGAATAAGTCCAAGTTTGAAGAACTCAGACTCAAACTTGGAGTTTTCAGCATGAATATCAATGAAGAGTGTTGATCAAAATGATATTATGCTGGAAACTCATGAAATTGGTCACTTTTTTGTAATATTGGAGCTGCATATTTTGGCTGCAAAAAACTGGAGTTCTGTTGCTGTTAGTTTCTACTGTAATGCATCAGAATTTTTTTAATTGTTATAATGTATACCTTAGGTGAATTCAGCTAAAAATCTGCTGTTAATTAGGTGTTAATGTAATGTGATGTGTTTGTAGTAGTTAGCAAAGTATGACTGCTTATTTTTTATTGTAAGCCTGCTGCAGAGTAGGTGTAACAGCAGTGCAAACCATATATATTATTTTGCATTTTGTTAAATGAAAGATGACAATTCTCGTATGCAGTATTTTTCAGTGTGTGGTAACTTATCAGCAGTGCTTTTCTTAGAATTCTCCAGCTCCAAAACCATCATTATGAACTCCACTACTGATTTTGCTCGAGTCATTTTGAATTTTTATTTCTCATTAAGTTGGGCTTGCACAACTTTTTCTGGAGTTGCACCCAGTTTCTACCCCCTGTGTGTCTGTTTTCTCTGGTTAACGTTTGTATCTTGTCTATGTAATGAACTTGCTGCAGATGATCACTCTGGGAGGTGACGCAGAACTTGAACTAGTAGACTCTCTGGATCCTTTCTCAGAGGGTGTTGTTTTCAGTGTGAGACCACCTAAAACGAGCTGGAAGAATATTGCAAATTTATCGGGTGGCGAAAAGGTTACCTTTGATCTTGTTCTCTCATTGATTTAGTGCTCTACTTTTTAGTGTCAGTGATGCATTGTTATGATCCCAGAACTTTTCATCTAACATTGATGTTTTAACTGTTCTCAGACTCTCAGCTCATTAGCTCTTGTTTTTGCACTTCATCACTACAGGCCTACGCCGCTTTATGTAATGGATGAAATTGATGCAGCTGTAGGTACAGTACTTGGAATCAACCAAGTCAGTTCTTTGTTTCTTTAAATTATCTTCTGTTTTCTATTTGGCCTCCATTTACTAGTATGGTTCATATGGTGTCCCAGACTTCAAGAACGTTTCAATTGTTGGGCATTATGTTCAAGGACAGAACAAAGGATGCTCAGTTCATAATTATAAGGTTGGTTAGATCTCTGTGGATTAATATTATGTAACAGACATTATACTTGCTCAAATTCGTTTTATACATTATGTACTATACACCTGCAGCCTGAGGAACAACATGTTTGAGTTGGCGGATCGACTTGTGGGAATCTATAAAACTGATAATTGCACCAAGAGCATTACCATCAACCCCAAAAGTTTCACGGTGTGTGAAAATGCAGCTGCTTGATGCATTTTGAAAATTTCTTCTGATATGAAATTTAGGAATGGCAACTCGCCATCATCTTTGTATAAGCTTAACTTCCAACTGTTCGGAAGCTTACGATTATCACTCACATAAAGACATGTAGCTGTTATTTATATGATCGACATTTGATTTTATTTATCTAAATCTTGTAATTATGGCCTAGAGGGTGAAGATGAGTGTAAGTACACATTGTCGATGTTGAAGGAACTTAATATTCCCTTTGAATTCTTTTAACTCCATATTTAAGATTCTGCTCTTTTGAGGGGTTGCAAATTCGAATGTTTGGTAGAGTTAATAATTGTTCAGAAAGTTTTCAGAGAGAGAAACGTATCATGTCATTTGTACATGGATAACTGGTATGCTCTCATTTAAGACTTTGTACTTGTAGATAGTTCTTAGATTCGATTGCTTTCTGTATGCTTGCAAACTTATACTAGTTAACTGTTTCAGGACAAGTGATTGCTGAGATTTGGGCGGGAACATACACTTTGAATTTTAAAGAAAAGGTTCGAAAACAGCTGGTTGGTACTTGTTACAGTATATCACAAGAGCCATACACAATACACAGAATTGTTGTGGACAAATTCAAACGCAGCATGCAGGTGAGTGACAATGTCCTCTACTTTTTAAAGTCAATTCTTTCACAGAACGTTAAGAGGGTCTTTGTTTGTAAGCTGTCCATCAGTGTCACCGCTGTTCATTCTGCGAAGTTTGAATGACAATGAAGGTGTTTTAACTGACTTATCAGTCTCTCGAATAATGCTGTAACACCATGCTCCCATAAGTGCTCCTGTGACTGGGCCAAGCACATACACCCAAATGCTCTTGTAGTATGAGCTAGCAATTGCTGGTCCCAATGTCCTTGCCGGGTTCATCGATCCACCCGATACTGGCCTGAGGATCACCTCATAACTTGTTAGTTTCATCAACTCTTAATCTTTTTACCCTTTTTCTTTCATTTGGTCTGTAGTTAATTTGTTCCAGGATTTCGGTTTTATGCAATAGAATTGAAATAAGTTGTTTAGAATTTGCTTACCCTGCTAAGATAGCTGTTATGCAGACTGCTGAACCAACTGCAACACCTGCTAGCTCTCCTGTCTGCAAAATGGTAATAGTTAATCAGAAGTCTTGTGAATTCTACACTTTAAATTCTTAAGAAAATGTTGAATCAAAATGGGAATTTTTAGTATTTTACAGCTCTGGTATCGGTTGCAACAGCCGAAGTAACGAACATCATAGAAAATGTTACGACTATTTCCATGATCAGAGCTTGGAGGTCTGGTCCTGAAGGCGATGTAGTGCCAATTTGTTTAATTGGGTACAATAATACTCTCAATGTCATTGCAGATGAAATTGCTCCCGTTAGTTGAGCTGCCGCATAAAATGGGACCTGCAAAAAATAAGGTGACATCCAATACTGTTTTATGAAACCATTTTCATAAAATAAAAACAGGGAATGGAATTTTGTATGCTGAAATTTCATATTGGGGAACTGAAAAGGGTCATTCACATAATTGTTCATAAAATCTGAACTGGGGGTTGGGGCACATTACTGAAACAATAGACAATGGAATCAATGATTTTATCTACTAATTACTTAATTAGCCCATCCTCAAGAATCAATTATTTCTTTATATTATTGCAGTTTCTAATATATATTTATATTTTTTGATTTATTAAATGGAAAATAATTTATAACATAATAATAACAAACAAGAACTTTTGATATTTCTGATACTGTTCTTCTGTATGATGGAGAAGTATAATTATAGCAGTCATCTCCCATGACTTGAATATATATATATATATATATATATATATATATATATATAACTTATTACTGATGATGTGTTATAATACTTAAAATATCAATTATTATTGATAATGTATTACAGTACCTAAATTAATACAATGACAATGATCCTTCTTTTCTGTACTTTTAACTAAACCTTACTCTTAATAACAAATGACAAACCTTACAATAAAATTGTAATTTGCAAGTTTAAATCATAATGCCATTAATTAATATTGACATTGTGCCTACGATGTAATTAAGGATGGCTCCTTGATGAACCAGGATGATGAGGATCGCTTTTAACCGGCTGAACTAACGNGCACAATAATTCGTCTTGGGCAGTTTATTTGTGAAAATGTATGTATAGCCAAAAATGGACCACGCCTAAAGTCTGGTCAAGTTTTAATTGTTCAAGTTGACTCTGTAGTAATAAGATCAACTAAGCCTTATTTGGCTACTCCAGGAGCAACTGTTCATGGGCATTATGGAGAAATGTTTTACGAAGGAGATACATTAGTTACATTTATATATGAAAAATCGAGATCTGGTGATATAACGCAGGGTCTTCTAAAAGTAGAACAACTGTTAGAAGTGCGTTCGATTGATTCAATATCGATAAACCTAGAAAAGAGAGTTGAGGGTTGGAACGCACGTATAACAAGAATTCTTGGAATTCCTTGGGGATTCTTGATTGGTGCTGAGCTAACTATAGTGCAAAGTTGTATCTCTTTGGTTAATAAGATCCAAAAGGTTTATCGATCTCAGGGGGTGCATATTTATAATATGCATACAGAAATTATTGTACGTCAAATAACATCAAAAGTGTTGGTTTCAGAAGATGGAATGTCTACTGTTTTTTTACCCGATGAACTAATTGGATTGTTACGAGCGGAACGAACAGCACGTGCTTTGGAAGAAGGGATCTGTTACCGAGCAATCTTATTAGGAATAACGAGAGCATCTCTAAATACTCAAAGTTTTATATCTGAAGCAAGTTTTCAAGCAACCGCTCGAGTTTTAGCAAAAGCAACTCTCCGGGGTCGTATCGATTGGTTGAAAGGCCAGAAAGAGAACGTTGTTCTGGGGGGTATGATCCTCGTCGGTACCGAATTCAAAGGATTAGTGTACTCTTCAAGGCAGCCTAACAACATTCTTTTGGAAACACACACAAATAACTTATTCGAGAGGGGAATGGGAGATATTTTCTTACACCACAAAGAATTTTTTGCCTCTTACATTTCAAAGACTTTACATGATACATCAGAACAATCACTTAGAGGATTTAATGAGTCCTAGGAGCAGATTCTTTTAACTATATTGAGGTCGTTTGATTTATTAATGGTAAGAAAAGAAAGATAATAATGAATAGAAAGTAATGAACGGCTTGGATCGTGTATCAATGGCCAATCTCTAATAGAAGAGAAGGTTCCGTTGGAACAATTATTTATTTCAGGGCACTTCATCTCTTAAAAAAAAAGGGGGGAAGTGTGGGGAGAAATGGCAAGAAGATATTGGAATATCAATTTGGAAGAAATGATGGAAGCAAGAATTCATTTTGGTCATGGTACTAGGAAATGGAATCCTAGAATGGCGTCTTATATCTTTGCAAAGCATAAAAGTATTCATATTACAAATCTGACTAAAACTGCTCGTTTTTTATCAAAAGCTTGTGATTTAATTTTTGATGCAACAAGTAGGGGAAAACAATTCTTAATTGTTGGTACAAAAAATAAAGCAGTTGATTCAGTAGTGCGAGCTGAAATACGAGCTCGGTGTCATTATGTTAATAAAAAATGGCTAGGTGGTATGTTAACGAATTGATCCACTATAGAAACGAGACTTCAAAAGTTAAGGATTTGAGAATGGAACAAAAGACGGGAAGACTCAACCGTCTTCCCAAAAGAGATGCAGCTATGTTGAAGAGACAATTATCACGCTTGCAAACATATCTGGGCGAGATTAAATATATGGCGGGGGTACCAGATATTGTAATCATCGTTGATCAGCAAGAAGAATATACGACTCTTCGCGAATGTCTCACTTTGGGAATTCCAACCATATGTTTAATTGACACAAATTGTGACCCCGATTTCGCAGATATTTCAATTCCCTCAAATGATGATGCTATAGCTTCAACCCGATTAATTCTTAACAAATTTGTATTTGCAATTTGTGAGGGCCGTTCTAGCTATATACGAAATTTTTTATTAATAATAAGATAAATTGATTTTTTTGGTAAATCCCTAGATTTATGGAATCGGTTACAAGTCCTGAATCGTGCAAAAAAAAAAAAAAAAAAAAAAACTGTAGATATTATGTGATTGACGGGATTCAAAAGATCAAATTCAAGTAGACAAGTCGAAAAGGAGATGGTTATATCAAAATAATTCTTTTTAAAATTCAATTCAAGTAGAACAAATCCCTTGGCCCAAGCTTTCGCCACTGGACCAACCCATTGTTGGGTAGGATTGTATTATCTTCACTATTTGCTTTATTATAAATTTAACATCAATGAGTGTTAACTAAATAGATAAATGTTAACAGGTAATTAATTTTAACTCCTATATATTTATCCATTTATATTTGCAAAGTAATGATCTGATCTCCTTTATATGTTGCTTGAATTGCTTATTCTTATCTCATGAAATCATAAACATCCTCTTTATCAATTTCAATTGTTTGGGCACCATTAACGATGGCATGGTTTCTTAAGAGGTTTAACTAAAATTGTAGTATTTGGACGAAAATAATTAATTTAGTTTATGATCAAAGTTTCAGTTACGGATTTAGTTTGTTACAAAATAAAATCATCTAATTTAATCACAATCTAGAATTATGATTGAAACTTTAATACATTCTTCTATTATAAGTTAAAATGTCATAGACCAAAATATTTTTTGAAAATTACTGGCAAGTAAGTTGAGTAAGAAATAAGATATGTGGGTGGGTTTTGGAATTTATTTAATTATTGAGACAATAACCTAATTGATAGTGGACACTCTTGAGTGAATTTGAAGCAAATATTTTATAATGGATATTTCATTTTGGTGATGAAGATATTTCTCATTGGTACCAAACACTGATAATGGGAATAAAATTTAATACACAATAGTTCATAATTGTTAGACGGAATTGGGCATGGATTTTTAATTAAATAATAGGAAGTCAATATCTTTTTGGATTCTAAACTATAGACTAACGCACCGACAACTTATTACTCTTTAATTTATTTTAATTTTACATTCATTAAGACTTGTCTTCGCTTGTAGCTTGGTAAGTTGGGAGGCTATAAGAGAATGGGGAGAAGAGTTGCAAAAAAGTCACCATAGAAGCAACACTAATTAGAATCATCGTTCTATTGACATGTAAAAAGTAAAATTAAGCATCATATAATCTTCTTTTTTTTTATTCACTCAGCATTTGTATCACTTCCTCCTCTCCTGCTTGCAGTGGTGTTCTTCAATATCTGCACATTACAATCAACAAATAAATTTCTCATAAGTTCTGAAGCTTCATCGTGAAGAACTAACTAACCGATCCAAAACATCCCAGTATATCTTGCAGTCCATGAAGAATCTACTGAGCCCCCTTAAATCAAATCTGTTAGGCCTATGAAGCACACGCAGCAAAATGCATAGTACTAAAATGTCCCCACCCTATATACTAAACTCTCTAATGCAAAATCATCCTCCACTCAAAGTCATTGTTGAGTTATTTGGGTTTACTTGCTCGATGAAATGACAACAACAAATAACAAAACCAGTATGCAAAATTATACAGTAACATTAGATGCAATGAATTAATACCCATTCTCCATAATAAATATACCATAAAAATTTAGTCATGGATTGTTGTTGCCCTCGTGGTTGAGGGCTCACCCACAAAACGTCATACCGCATTAATGATAGGCCATTACGTTTCATTTTCATTTTTTGCCCATATCTATTCATTCTAATGTACCTACTCTGTGTTTCTGATACAAAGAATGGAATACTTTCATTCTAAATTTCAACATTCCTTTCTGTTAATTATAGGTGGTTGATTGGATGGATGGTTAGGCATGGATCATAATGTCCAAAATACCCTTTAAAACTATAATTATGTCTTAAGTAACGCAAAGTACGATGGGAAATAACACGAACTTACGTGTCTAAGCATCTGATTCTCGTTCTGTAACGTGGACAGTCTCTCTTCAAGCTCAGAGTTTTTCTTCTCCAAGTCTTTAACTCTTGTTTCCAATTCACTCAAGTAAGCCTTTTTCCTTTCTCTTGCTTGCTGAGCTGAAACTCTGTTTCTCAACAACCTGAGACATCACACATTGTCATCAAAACGCTACAGTAAGAGAGGACACACACCAAACAGGGGTCAAATGGTAAAATCAGTCATAAGCTTACCTTTTTAGTCGCTTGTTCTCTTTGTCAGCTGGACTTCTACCTCTCTTCCTCTGACTTTCTCCTGATGGCTGAACCCCTGGACCTGCCACTGAACCGCTATCTCGACCGGATGCTGACGTTCCGGCCAGTTCTCCGCCGATCTCCGGGACTCTTCGGATCTCTTCATCACTTTCCATACCTGAATTTATTCAAACCATAAATTTAAAATCGACATTTAAACAAGAATTCACATAAAAAACGTAAAAGGCGAAAATCTGGCTGATCTCAGATAATTTTCTCGGAAAGCTTGATTCTTAAGAGAATTCAAAGTCCCAGTTGAGGAAATCTAAAGCATGACATAACCCAGCTGGAAAATCACGAGAAACTTTGACTTCAGTGAGGAAAAGAATTGTATAAAAAAAAGTCGAAAATATGTGATAAATGATATTTATAAAGTAAAATCTCAAATTAATTCTACACGAACCGGAAGGAAAGATTTAAGATTTTATTGAGATCACAAACGCAGAATCACATTAGGCGCAAAAATAAGCCAGCACTACTGAAAACAAACTCTTCCCATCATTCAGAAACTGAAAAGTTTCAATATTTAAAGCGAGAACGATTAGAAAAATAAATACACGTATTTTGAGATTTTGGAGAAAACAAAATGAACAAAAAAAAAAAAAAAGCACCTTCTTTGATTTCGAGTTGAAGAGCAGAACTAGAAGATCTCTCACTGCTTGACGGCAGAGAACTGGCTGCAATAGAACTGGTTGCTTGTTCTTGCATTTCCTCTTCGATAACAAAAAAAGAAAGTGCGAGAAAGTCCTTTCAGACAGACAAAAAGAGCGGGATATTAATGCTACAGTATACAGTAAATCAGATTGAGTGCAATAACTACCGTCGGATGGGAAACGAATCGGACGGTGAAAAGAATGCAATCGTGGAGGTAGAAGAACCATGAGGAGTTGATTGAATCAAAGGTCTGCTGGGAGGAAGCGTGGAGGTGTTTATGACCGTCTAGGAATTAGATCGGACGGTTGGGATAAAAGTTGGAATGAGAAATATATAATAAAACGGGACCACCACGTTATTGCTTGCTGGCTAAAAGTGCTGATTGGTTTGATTTTTGGAAAATGTGTAAACAATCACCATACACTTTGAATTTGAGACCTAGGCGTGCATGTCACGTGTTATTTGTGTTGGGAAAGAACATTATTAAAAATGTTTTTTGAAATTTTATTTCAAAAGATAGACAGAGGAATGAGGATATTGAGAGGAGAGTCATAGTGGCTTATTTGCGTATGAAAATTGATTTAGATTCGTCCATCTTGTTTACTTATTAAACAAATTATTTATGGGGTGAAAGTAAAATGAATGTTACTGAAAATTGATGTATAGAAATTGAGATACCTAATCAAGTGGCACAATTTATTACCTTGAATGCACATGAGAGTGGCAAGGAACTATTGTCAACCAAATTGCTCCATCTATTTAAAATTATTTAATTTGTCGTCGTTTCAAAGATTCTGAGATACATATATGCATTTTGCTAAATCGAATACTATAAGCACTACAAATAATCAATGAAATATATATATAAAGAAATTAATATTGAACTATGGGTTTGATTTGGTTTTGAGGGCAGTTGCCGGTTTCCAAGAGACGCCAAGGAAGCTGCCTCTAGAAGTAGAAACTTTACTGAAGGGTTGGGGAGTTGAGAGACTGCGAGGGCAAGTAGTTGGTGATGCAATATTAATAGTATTTGGGAAAGTAGTGCTTTCTTTCACAGTGTGGCATGGTCTTAGCTCTTTCATCTCCACCTTACCATCTTCTCCTAAACAGTACTTTGTATCCCACACTATTCCCGATGAACCTTGCCTCCTATATGAAACTCCAGACCTTTGTAAAGTTGCCATCATAAGTTCTCGCTTAACTAATTTATTACTTGTATGACTATATATATTGGGCGGCCTGGGAGAGAATGAAAGAAAGAATTAAGGGAAAAAGGTTATAGAATGGCATCTGAGTAGACGTAGAGAGTCAAATTTTGTGATGCATGCTTAAGCATTGCATACTCTTGTTTTATCTTTTGTTTCAGAATTTTCGTCCCTACCTTAAAACTTGTTTTTTAAGTCTGCGTAAAGACTTTGAATGTTGAAAATTTACAAGTTTGTTTGAATTTTCTTTATTGAATATATACCTAGTCTAGTCATGGTAAAAAATATTACGTTAATTCTGGAGTTTATGAAAGTACTGGATGTAAGATCCTCGGAGTACTTTGATGACAATTCTTCGTCAGTCAATTTTATCTGGGTCGATTTTTTTTGTTTTGTTTTTTTCATATTTGAATGCAATTGATTTATGAAATTATATTTTGCGTATCCACTAAATAATATTAAAGGTCTTGTTTTACATTATGTCTTCCTTGGAACACACGTAAACAAGATCTTTTTTTTTTTTTTTGGTTTTGTTTTGTTTTTTGTTTTGTTTATAAGGTATTTGAGCTAGTTTATACGCACCTCAACTAGTTCTTCAATCCCGAATAAGACTTTTGAAATAAGACAAATCCTATGATCCGTGACCAATAATTTAGCAACTGTTCTTGTAATTCAAATCTGAGATCACAGGGGAAGCAAACCTCTTGACCCCAAGCTTTTATCACTCCACCAACTCATTGTTTGTTAACATGATCCATTTTATATGTCAAAAATTTGAATACGAATTAATTTATGAGTGATTATTATCGATGCTTTAGAATCTCCAGCACATACATGCTCACATATTTACCAATCTTGTGTGGAGTTTTTAGCACATCACTGAATTTCAAAGAAGGCCAAAATACTGTTCTCACTTAAAGTTTGACCAAAATACAAAGTGATACCCTTGGAATAAAAGACTATCAATGTTCCACCCAAAACTAAGAATCAGATGTTAAAACTGATAGACGAGGGTAATATGGTCTTTTTGGTTTCCTTGAAGCCTTAAACTTTAAAATTGTCATAATCTTGCGACACGTGTCTATTACGTTTAAAATAGGAGTTTAGGGTTTAGAATAATAACTTTTAATTGAGTTGTCTTAAAGTGTAATTAAAGGTCCATGTTAAGGACAATAAGAGAATTTTTTAAAAGTGCCTTTAGCGCAAACGACAAGACAACCCTTTTTAATTGAGTAAACGACTATTTCCCACCCACGGTTTGCCTTAATGGCACTTTTCCAATCAAAAAGTTTTAAAATACCAAATTACCACGCGAACATCATGCTCCATTAGTAAATTCTGTTAAATACAGTGATTTTAACTGTAAAGACAGAAATGCCCTTAACAGTTTGACTGAAAACTTTTTTTATTAGTATGTCATGTCAAGGCATCCAATTACCATAATACCCTTTTTTAATTGTGTAATTACTGAATACCCCCAACTAGGGGTGTTCAAAAGAACCGATTGGAACTGGAACCGGCGGGTACCAGGGGTTTGGTTTTGATTCCTACCCGGAATCAGCCGTTAACGGGTAGGTTCTGATTCCAAATTTTTGGAACCGTCATTGTGCAGTTTCGGTTCCTATAGTTAGGAATCGGAACCAGAACTAAGAATCGATACTAATATAAAATAAAATTAAAGAGTAGGGGGGTTAATAAAAACTTTTGTAGAAAAAGTAAGGTGAATATATTTATATTTATATTTCATAACATTTAAAGTAAGTTGATTTGACTTGTGAGAATCTACCTTTACAAAGTAATGGAGTTTGTAATTTTGAATTTATAATTTGTAATTTTATTTTTGTTAACAAGTGGCGAAGGGGGTGGTTGGGGGTTGTATTTGAAAGTTTTTAAGGTTTTTTTGCCATTTTAAAAACTTTTGAGGGGTAATGTAATTTTACAAGGTACCCAGAACCAGAACCGGAACCATTGTTACAGGTTCTGGTTTTGGGTACCTAGGAACCGGAACCATCGGTTCTGGTTCCAGTTCCAAATTTCAAGGAACCATCGATTCCTGTTCTGGTTCTGGTTCCTTCAAAAAATACAGCGTACCCGGAACCGAACACCCCTACCCCCAACTATGCGTAAAGATTAAATTATCAATTTGTCCCTAATGCAAAAATCAATTAGTAACCGTCGAGATTTGAAAAGTTTGAAGCAATTAATATTACCATTTTATCCATGTGTTTGATGCAAAATGAGCTCACATTTATATAATGAATTTTATTTTATCAATTAAAACCTAACAAGAGTGCAGATTTGAAAATCACAATACAATTCCTTGAATTGAAACCCCAAAAAAAGCAATTAGCAATGCAATACAAATATCTTCAATCTAGGTAAATAAAGAAGCGGATTTTAATCACAAAATGGAGTTAAAATCACAGTTAAAATCACTTCATTGTCATTGTCAAAAATCTCATTAAAAAAATCAAAGTCAAAGCCAATTAATTGTCATTTGCACAATTCTCATTTAAAAATATCAAAGCCAATTCAGTCTCTATCTCCCTACATGCCACCATCATAAATCTATGATCAGTAATATATGCATAGAGCAAAAATATGACCAGTATTCGATCTGTTGTGGGTGACAAACATGATTAATGAACATGAGGCTTTAATTCAGGTGCTTCATGTACTCGAAACCCTTGATGATCTTCAAGGGTTATGACTTGAAACAGATTAACTCAATAACTTCCTCTCAAAATTTTCACAAACTTATAATACATACAATATACAAATAATTAACCAGCTTTACGCAAAAAAATTTCCAACCAAAACTAGTAAAAAACAAGCAATTTTTCACTCAGGACCACCTCAAATTCACCTCTACCAAAATGAGTGCAGCTTGGAACAAACAATACAACTTAAATAACAATACATGTCTACACTCTACAATAATTTTGCATTGTGATTTACTGATTTACCGTTTGATAAGCAAATCATACAACCAAAAGGATCATCATATTACATTTTATCTTTGATACTATGCATATGAGCATAACTTTATATATATATCCTAACGTCCAACTAACTGACCTGTATAAAAGTTATATTAGTTGGAAGCGTTACAAACTTAATTATGTTATTTGATAAAGCATCAAGAACAACCTAGAAAGAGCTTCCTTTAAGGGTATCGAATAAGCTAATTGGGTAAAATAATCACATGAACTAATCAAATTAAAAATAAAAGTAAAACTTTGCACTAAACAAACATCAATCAAATCTGGAAAGCAGAGCGACAAAGGAACAATTGAATACAACCTTTAGTACAGCTTCCTTGCACACTTCGCAAGAAGGAACATCCAAGATTGCATAACCAACTCCACAAATCAAGGTAAGACCTGACGCCAAGTCCTATTTTACCATCTTCTGTGTAACAAAGGCACTTGTCTTGAAGCAGCTCATCCAAAGTTTTTCCCTTCTGAGACATTGTGAAATTTCTTAATGCAGTAGGGGCATGAACAACATTTTGTGTCTGGGATCCCATACCAGCAAGAATATGAAAATATACCATGAGAATCATAAAAGTACTAACCCTATGTACACGAAAACAACAAACAAATCTTCCTGTCATTAACCCGTTTGCAAACAAAAACAACAAAACAAAAACCACATTTTTCCCATACAACCTACACTAAACGAAACCAACAAAAGTGAAAAAAAAGATGACTACATCTAGTCCTCCACAAGTTCAACCACTCGCAAACGCAAACCCTATCATTACCAGCCTCAATGATGAACGACTTCAAAAGCCGTGAGTCAGTAGACCAACTGTCATTAACCAAAGAACTTGCCGTTCGCCGAAAAAACAAGTCCTTCGCTGAAAAAACTCTCTGATAACAACCCTAAACCCTTATCGTCAACACTGTAA